CATAGATGAAGACATAGACACGCTGGAGACTGCTATCTCCCACTTACAAGACTCTCTGTCCTCTTTGGCAGAGGTTATATAACAAAATAGAAGAGGGCTATACTTCTTATTCCTGTAACAAGAGGACCCTGTGCGGCCCTCAGGGAAGAATGCTGTTTTTACATGGACTATTTGGGTATAATCAACGATTATAAGGCTAAGGTAGGAGAAGGCCTAGAGAAAAGAAAAAGTAAATGAGAACAATCCCAGGGTTCGTTCCAATCATGGTTCAGTACCCCACTGTGGCTAGCCACTCTTCTCTCTACCTTGCTAGGTCCCCTTCTACTTTTCTTGTTTTTTTTTTTTTTTGACCTTTGGGCCCTGCATGCTTAATAAATTATTACAATATGTAAAACAGAAGTTAAGCACAATTCAGCTCATGATTATGAGAACCCAATATCATTGTCTTAATGGTGACAACCTAGACCAGTACTAGTCCCATGATTGGGCCTCTAAAGTCAGTATTGGGAGGGGGGCGGAATGTAAGGGCTAAGCAAACTCCATTTTGAATTACCAATCTGTTTTGTTAAAGGTACTGACCCAAGAATGACCCCGTACCCACCTAGTTGCAGAAAAAACCACAGGATGTACTCTTAGTATTATGTTCTTGTGGAATGTACACAATTTACCCTTGTTCATTCAAATGCTGATTTTTTTTTTACCCCACTATCTGGTTTCAATCTGGATATTGCATTGTGAAGTTTAGTCTAAGCATCGCTTCTCTCAAGTTTTACCCCACTATCTGGTTTCAATCCGGATATTGCATTGTGAAGTTTATTCTAAGCATCACGTCTCTCAACAAAATACATTTGTTCTTTGTATTTTAATAAAAAATAAACCAGCCAATGCTGAGAAATGGAGAGAATAGGGTGGCCCATCCTGGTCCAGAGGGGAGGAGAAGGAAGCAAGTAGGAGTTGGAGAGCAGAGATCAGCAGGAGAGGACTTGAAACTACAAGGAGAGATGAACCAGACCTAAGAGATAACTGAAAGCAAGTATAATGTGGTAAATCTGAAAGGGAGGAAACTATTAGGGCTTGGAGGTTTAGGATGGAGTAACTATTACACAGCATTGTGCTCTAGGTTAATTAAATAAATCCTAGTCTCTGTGTGGTGATTTGAGTATACAGCTGGTTTAGGAATAACCACTGTTTAACTAAAACATACATCAATAGTAAATATTAATATTGAACAACAATGTACACACCCAGTTGCAGGAAACACCACAGGATGTACAAACATGTACCTGCCAAACTGGACCAGATGTTTCCTGTAGTTCCTCAGCAACTCTCTCAGATGGCACCCACCAATAGCAGGAAAGGTCATCTCACTTGCTCATCCCTTGCCCAATCCTATAACACAAAGCTTGGAATTCGCTGCTTGCAGGTTTTCCCTTTAAAAACTGCTCCACTTGACTCGGGGTCACTCTCCTAACCTGCTGCGACAGGGACCTTTTGGGGCTCAAGCTCGAGCTTGCAATAAACGAGCCTTCTGTGTTTGCATCAGAATCAGATTCCTGGTGGTCTTTTGGGGGTTTCATTATCTGGGCATAACACTGGACTTCTCTGCATAATGAATACCCTTTGTTTTTGCATACCATCTGAGTGTGGATTCTTCAATGATTCATAGCCCTAACAGAACTGTCCATGCCCCAGCATCCAAAGACAGCCTCATATTGGCATGGTTTTGGACATTAACTTTTAAATTAGTAAGTAGGTGATTAAATGACTCATGGTCTTGAAAAATAATCAGTCCTTCTTTTCCTCCTCTTCTTTGTCTTAGTCTTCCCTTCCATCATCTTTCTCTTCCTCTTCCACTTCCTGTTTTCTTCCTCCTTCTCCTTTTTCTCCTCCTCTTCCTCATTCTTCTCTGTTTCTCCCTGCTTTTCTGCCTGTCTGTATTTATTGTTTCTTCCCACTATCTTTGTCTCAGAATAAATGACACCTATAATATCTTATGGACCATCTATTGTTATCTTGTGTATGTCTAATTGCTTATGTCTTTATCGATTTCTGAATTAATGAATGAATTCTGTTTTTACCTCCATGAGCACCACTAAGCTTTCTGGCTAATAAACTTGATATAATAAATTCAAGTGTAATTTTAAAACTATTTCATACTGTTCCACTGTATTATTAATTCTAAAATTCATAACTCATACAATAGGATAGGATCAGCAGGTTTGTCAGTCTATGAACTATATCTATTATTGAATGTTTTGCTTTGGTACTAATTAAAATTTTTATTTACAGTCATGCTAAAAATTAATTAAGCTGTACCTAGTCTCTTGTTTTTATCCTAGGTGAAGCCTAGCATGGGTAACTATACAATTAAAGTTTGTTTGGCTCAGCTAAACTTAATAGATGGTCCTCAAGCTTGTCAGAAAATCTGGAGACTAGTATATTATATATACTTAATAAAAAAAAGCTTAATGTGACAGAGACCCCATTTTCTAGTGGTGACCCCAAGGCCTCCAGGAAAATTTGGGCATGACCGATGACTCCACTTGGTTACTGTGTTATTGGATAGATCCACCCCAACTGGCCTGCTGGCCCTGCCTGAACTGTGGACAGATATGACAGCCAGAGAGCTGACAGCCCCATTTTGCCTAGAAAAAATGTTAGCAATTCTCCTAAATTTCTCTTCCATGGAAAGGCCTCTTAGATTCCATGGACCCAGAGCCAGAAGACTGATGCTGCAATGTAGCCCTAGAATTTGTGCCCATAAGAGCTACTGTCATCACAGGAGCTTAATGGGAAGCCTGACTGGATAATGCATAAGCCTCTGTTATATTAACCAAACATAGGACTCTTGGATTATGCTTCCTGTGGTAATTTATCCTTCTCCAGTCTCTGATAGGTTTGAAGACCAATTTAACAGCAGATGCTAAGGGGTCAGCTGCACTCTCAAAATGTACAGTTTCTGTAAGGTATAAGCTTGAGGGACTGAGAAGATGTTTTAAGGTTGATAGATACAAGTTATGAAGGTTGGAAGGTCTGAGATGATTTAAATTATTCTAAATAAATAAAAATGCTTCATATTACCTTCTGTTGCTATGCTACTGTGCTATTGACATTCCAGAGCTTTGACATTTATCACTAGAGTTCTGATTTACTAATCTAACTCTTATAAAAACATTCCACTATACAATCCACTACCATAGTTCCAAGCTCAAGATTTTAAATCTTCTTTGGTTTGTCTTTAAGTATAAATTTAAAAGTTGTTTCTCGTTGTTGTAGATTTATATACACCCAGTCTTCTGGATAGAAAAAATAAGCCACCCTTCCATAATGTATAATCAGACTAAAAGTTAAGGTCAAGTGAGCTTCTGCCCTTCTACTTCATGAAAGGCTTCTGCCTTTCTGGAACTCACTTTAAAGAGTGTTTATGCTGTTAACAAACAGGTGTATGTCTACTGCCTTTTTCCATAATGTATATTACACTGCAAAGCACAAAGATAATGCTAGCATGTCTAAAGTTTTATCTCCTTTGTAAAATTAAAAAGGGGAATGTTTTAAGCTGCAGAACATTCACTGGAATCCACCTCTCAGGTCAGTTGCACTCCAGAAAAGTACCGCACCTATTCTCTATCTCAAAAAGTGGGATTCCTTCCCCACCTTTCCCTGCTTTTGGGACTCCTCTTTCTTGGTTACCTGATAGCTACGTCCATACATACAACAATGGCGGATTGATAAGTTCCCTTCCGTGGTTGGCATAAATGTTTCCCTTTGCCTGATACACTGACCAGTATCTCTTCATTTTACTGGGAAATGGCGGTACCCTCCAACCATGGCCTTCAAGGTTATGGTTGGCCCTTCTCACCGACTCTCACTGAGATTCCTTTCCTTCGGTGAATAATCTTTTTCTTTTTACTGACATGGTCTTGGCTTTTCCTTTCCTGTCGAATAGGAAAATCCTAATAATAGGTGAGGCTGTGTCTCTTGGGTGTTTTTCCTGTGCCTCTGGCACTGCTCGTGAAGACTGCTTTGCCAGATTGTGCCCCTTTACCTCTGGTTCTCCTGTACATTTTGTACTTTGCCCCAAAGTCTGGCAAACCAGATGTGTGCTTTCACCTCAAGCCATGGATGTTCTCAGAGATCCTGGACAGCATCAAAACACTTTACTTTTCCTGGACTTGGCCAGCATTTCAGTCTTTTGGCCTCCCTATCGCCACCCTAGTATCAGCAGGAAGTAGCTAAGGATGATTACTGAGAATGTCACCAGCAAAGAAGCACAGATAAAAATGAAATGCAGCCTTCAAAAGACACCTGAGTTTACCTATGTATGTGAAGTCAGGAGACAAGGACATGCAAGAATGAATGAGCTTTATAACTAATTGTAATAATTTCAAGAAAGCAAAGAAATAACAAAATGTCATTTGTGAAATAGTAGTACTCTTTCCAAGCAATATAATCCAGGTCTTTCCATTTCAGAGTGGCAAATGTCACAGTTTTATATTCAGTCATTATTAAAAAAAAAAAAAAAGAATTAATGCCTCTAAGAGAAAATCAGACTCTCAAAAGTTAAGTCCTGTGCCATAGGGTAATGGCTCTTACATTATATTTTCCTTGAAGACCTGGACAATGCCCATCTAAAAACTCAGCCAGTACTTACGCTTTACCAAACCCCAGTGATGAGCATGGCAGCAAAGATGACAGTGTACATGCGGCAAATATCCTTCTGAAATTCAGACCTGCTTATGATCATCATACTTAATGAATTTCAGCATGGAACAAAATGTAAAGAATTACTGCTAGACAGTTAAGACAAATTAAAGTCAATGTGTTTGGACTTGAGTTGCAAATTGACACAGGGCCAGAATACTAATTACAGCTCATAAAGGTGAAGTGAAATGAAGGTTAGACTGAGGCTGCCTAGCTGTGAGTCTCTGCAGGATACTGCAGAGCGTGAACTTTCCCTCCTGGAAAGAATGGCCTTGTGGCTTCATGACACCATCACTCACCATTCTTGGAGAGCAGGATAGCCAGAAAATTCTGAGAAGAGAAATTGAGGAAGAACAAGAGGCTGGGGGCCTGTGCCGTCATGAACCTCAGTGTAATGGTTTCTTTGGATGGAGCTGTGTCTGTGTAGATAGCTGAAGATGAGAGGTTTATGTTCTTGGTTACCGGATATGGCTCTTGAAACATGTATGTAACGGAGGTGCCAGAATCAAAAAGAGCTGAAATCTCTGCAAAAGAGAAGACAAGAGAGCATGCTTTCAAACATTTAGTCTATTACTCAGGGTAGCTACAATGCCTGCTTATTGCTTTGTCTATACTTAGCAGTAGGTGAGGGGTGTTAAAAAATCAGATGATGTGTTCTTGAAGATTTTGAAAAGGATCAAGTCCCTTCTTGTGTGTATATTAACATGTTCATATGTAGATCTGTGCGGACTTTGGAGACTAAGGGGTGGATGCTTTCTCTTATTATTCTCCACTTTATATTTGAGTGGAGTTGCTAGACTGGCTGATCAGTGAGCTCAGAACTCTTAGTATCTCACCTCCTCTAGCGATGCATCTTGTTTTTCATGTGGGAATTGGGGATCCACACTCAGACTCCCATGCTTGTGAGGCAAGCACTTGGCTGACTGAAGCATTTCTCAAGCCCTTTGTAGCCATTGTTTGTAATTACAAGTATGCCTGAGGAAGTTAATGCTAACACGCAACCCTTTCTATGAGTCTCTATGTTATTCAATGAAATAGTCTTTGGACTTGTGGAGTGTCTGTAATACTCCACTATCAGCGGATGGCTCAGTTCCTCAAATATTTGATGAACAAGAGTGAAGAAGTGAGTTTGGATCTCTAGCATCTATGTTAAAAGATAGGCGTGAGTCAAGCATAGCTGTCCTCTGAGTGGCTCGACCCAGCAGCTGATGGAAACAGATGCTGAGATGCACAGCCAAACATAGAGTGGAGTGCAGGGAGCCTTGTGGAAGACTGGGGAGAAGAATAGAAAGACCCAGAGGGGACAGGAGTTCCACAACAAGACCAACAGAGCCAACTAACCTGGGCCCAGGGAGAACTGTGGAAACGGAAGCACCAAACAAAAACCATGCATGGACTGGACCTAGACCACTACATATAAGCAGACAATGGGCAGCTTGATTTTCATGTGGGTTCCCTAGTAAGAGGAGTGAGGGTTGTATCTGATTTGGAGTCTGTTGTCTGCTTTCTGCTCACTTGTCACTGGTGGGGCTACCTTGCCTGGCCACAGGAGAATAGGATATGCTTAGTCTTGATGCAACTTGATGTGCTGGGGTGGTTAGCTGGGGTGGTTGGTGGGAGGTATCCCATTTTTTGAGGGGGAGAGGAAGGGGAATGGGGGATAAGAAAGGGAGGGTGTAATTGGGAGGAGAGGATGAAGCAGGCTATGATTGGGATATAGAGTGAAGTTTTTTAAATGTAACCCCAGATCTGGGGAAGCAGAGACAGGAAAAGCCCTGATGTTCATTGGCTAGTCTAGCAACTGGTGAGTGCCAAATTTTGAAGAGCAACTGACAAGACATCTGTAATTGAACCGTGGCCTCCACATACATGTTCATACAAACACACACACACACACGATCACATAAACATATACACATGTACTGCAAAAACACAAAAGCAAAGAAAAAAATGAAGATAATTTAACCTAAGTTTATATCATTAGCCCTTATGAAATGTATCCCGTGATAGGCAGTGTATCTATCACCATGTGAAAAAACTGATTTTGCCAGGATCCAGTCTGTACTTGTGGCAACTTTAAGTCTCGTGTGTTTATGTGCAGGAAATGTTGCTTTTTATAGACCTGTGAGCAAACATCTGCCTGGAAAACTGTGTGGTAAAGTTGAGTTCATAGGTTTATGATAGGTTTCTCTTCTTGCCAGAGAAGCATGCACTGTTCCTAATCCTCCCTTGATAATTTCTGGATAAGTGTGGGTCACCAAGAACATAGCCAAACTTGGATTTGCTTACTAATGCTCTTGATGCTTTTCTACCTCGTGACATTTCTGTCAACAGTCTTTAGTAGTGCCACATAGTTGATGCTACAGGTTTATGCTTGTTGTCTCACAGACCTGGGCTAATAGTGCAATTAATAGGGAAAGGTTTAGAAAGAATGTTTTGTGTTTATCAAGCAAGTTATGTCAGTGTCTCTTATATTAAAAATATGAAGCAGAAACTTTAGGCCATGAAGATATTGGATCATCAACTGCTTGATACAAGTGTTTTATGTAGGTAGATATGACCTGCAGTTTCAGCTACTATTTTCTAGTTAACAAAATAAAGCCTTTGTTGGATGTTTGTGTATATAGTCAAACGCATATGGGATTCACAGTGTATAAAAACCATATGAGACATGTCCATATACAATATTTCTTTTTATTTTTCAGGACAATAAATTAAAAATGAAAACATATTTATGATTAGATATGTCAAAATGATGTTCTTGTTCTACAGGAGCTAATTTTATTATTTCTAATATTCATTTATTACTTGTTTCAGTGTAAGCTAAATTCAACAAATGCTGCTACTCATCCACTTTCTTATGTTTTATGACAAGAGATGAAAGTGCTGTAATAGGTTTGGTTTCCCATACATTACTTATGAATGAAATTTAAAGCACACTCAGTGAATTTTAAATTTTATTATTATTTTAGTTTGAGATAGTACAACATTTCAAAAAATAGTAAGAGATATCATTTAGGGAGAATTTGTATGATGTGTGTGGTGTTCACTGAATGTTAAACATGGTCCCTTATATAAAATTCCTGCATTTTCCACATATTATAAATATGGAAATCAAAGAAGTTTGAGGTTAAATGCATAACTACTATCTGCACAGGGACAATGAAAAATGAATGAGAACCTGAACCCAGAGTTTTTTTCCACAGAGCTCCTGTGATAGATGAAGTAAATAAATAAAGACAGTGTTTACAATGGGAAATATTGCAGTGGTTAAAACTGGTGCTTACAAATACTTATGACATATGTAGGAATGCTTATGGTATGAAATAAAAGAAGCAAGTAGCATAAACAAAACACATACCATAATCTCCACCATATTAAATGTCAGTGATGTTTTTAAATGATTGTGTATGATTAAGTTAGGTTTAACATTCTAGATTTGTACATCAGTTTCCAAATTTATTATCTAGTAATGTTAGTGACAGAAATTTAGTGGCAACACTATTTAGTCAACAATAGAAGAGTGCTGGCAAAGAATTACACACTAACAAATGATGCCCAGGCATACGGATGTCAAGGATGTCACTGTGGTCCAGAGGGTAAAGGTGTTTGCAGCCAACCCTGATGACCTGAGTTAAGTCCCTGGGACCACATGGTAGGACAAAAAAAGCTACTTCTAAAAATTGTCTTTTGGCCATACATGTGCCCTGGGCATGCTAGCAAATACATACATACACACACACACACACACACACACATACACACACACACATACACACACACACACACAACACACAAGCATGAAGAAATAAATTTAAATTTGGTAAAATAAATAAGGGAATCATGTAAGAGCAAAATTGTACAACATATACAAAAAATAACTTAAAATGTAACAAGGTCTTCAATAGAAGAGATAAAATTATAGAATACTTAGAAGAAATTATAGGTACAAATTTTACTTCCTTGAATCTACCATTTATTTCTCATTTGTGACAGTAAAAGTAGAAGCAATAAAAGAAAGGAGATAAATTGAGCTCCATCAGAATGAAGAAGCTTTTTGTTTCAAATGATATAATGAGGACTGTGAGAAGGAAACCCACATAATGGAAGGATAAATTTGCAAATTATATTTTATAAGGGACATATATTCAGAAGACTGAAAAAATGCAACCTAACGACAAGAATAAAATTTGCAAACTGTTCAAATATGCAGTTATTCAAAAAAGACACCGAAATGAAAGGTAATGATTTGAATGAATGTTTAGCATGACTAGTCATTAGCTATGAGCAAGTCAGAGCCACAGTGTGGCACCATTTCCCATACAGTAGGCTGTCTGCTTTAAGACAAGCATACAATAACAGGTGTGTGAGAGTGAAGAAAAACTGGAGCTTTTGTAGTATAGTTATGTTAAGGAGGGAAAATCTGCAACCCATTTTGAAAACAATTTGTCAGGTCCTCTAGAGAAAAAAAAAGGAGCCAGCAAGATGCATCAGCAGGTAAGTACACTTGTCATCCACTAAGTTTATGACCTGAACTTTATTCACAGTGTTACACAGTGATGTCAGGTAAATGAGAAAAACCCCAAGCATCCCCAGAAAGGGCAGGCTCACTGATTTGGGCCAACATAAATGTCTAGGCTCGGCTCAGGCTGGACTCCAGGAGGATTTCTGGTGGATAGTATGCTTATAGGTAGCATTCCTCAGGAGCCTGCAAAACAGACTTCTGCCTGCCACAAAGGGCCAGTTCCCTTGGCGTACACCTATGGTTGAATATCAAAGCCAAAGCTAGATTTCAGTCTCCTCTGGTACCTAACACATGTAACTGTTATGCATTTCAAAGCTCACAGTAGCATCCTCGTTCATTTATCCATCTTACCCTTCTACTGTGCTAGCTCCCAGGATATTCCAGATTTCGAGATTTGGCAAGCCCCACCCCACCCTTGTCCATCTTTACCAGTTTCCATTGCTAGTTTCTTTGCTATTCTTTCCTGCTTCCCTCTGTCACTCCTCTACCCCTGCAGGAGAAATAGCCCTGGCCCTGGCCCTGGCCTGTCCTATCTGCTTCTTTTTCTCTCTGCTCTGGACTCTTCTAGTTGCTTCTTCATCTGTCTGTCTGTCTGTCTCTCTCTCTCTCTCTCATATCTACAAACAATATAATTATACTCCCCATGGCGTAGCCATTTGCATGGTTTCTTTATTGTGCCTTCATTTACAGGTAGAGGAAGAGAAATCAAATTTTGAGAGTTGTTTATCTTCACAGGATCATACCACACACATGTGCCCCAACAGTTCACACACCCACGTGGGCAAATGTAATAAAAGCATATAAAATCAAAAATAAAACATGTGCTATTCCCAAACATGCACATGAGTTTCAGTAGTAGTACTATTCATAAACATCAGACAATGGAGACAGTCTAGTGTCTATTGATAACAAACAGGAAAGCAAAGTGGGGAGTATTCACAAAATACCTTGGCAATAGAAAGAAAAAGTTCTATAACATGGATGAGGTGACAATATTATCTAATCAGAGAAAAGCAATATGAAGAAGCAACATGTGTTAAAGTCCCTTTATATGAGAGTTCCATCCCAGGCAAATTCACAGAGACAGAAAGAGAAAACTGGATTCTGAGGAGGGCAGGGGGCTGCTGGTTGTCAATAGAGTTTGAGGAGGTGGACAATGAAAAGAATCTGAAACTAGGTAGTTGTGTATGTGTGAAAGCAATAGGAGCAAGGACAGCATCCACCTTAACAGGAGGAATTTCTTTGTATTTAAATTATATCTAACTAAAAGACTAACTATAAATAAAGCTTTTTTAAAGAATAAAATGCAAAGAGCTACATACCTGGAAGGATATTTCTATAATATTTTTTATTCAGAATGAAATCAGAATCACAAATGAGAAAAATTCCCTAAAGCAAAGCAGTAAAGCAGCGTAGCAAATAAACCAAAGTTCTCCCAAACCTGAGAGATATTGTCACATCACCTGGGCTAGAGAGATAGCTCAGAGCCTAGTCTCTTTGTCCTACAGAGGATTTTAGCTTGGTTTTTAGTACCCACTCAGGGAGCTAATCTGTACCCCTAGTTCCAAGGAAGCCAATGCTTTCTCCTGGCCTCCTTGGGCTACATCATACACATGGCCAAAATTAACACAATCATACACAAAAAAGTAAGGATAAATCTTCATAAACAATCCACTAAGGATAGTGCCTGTGGAAAGCACCTGGGCCATTAATAGCATGACTTTGAGGGGGTGCTAAGATCCCCCCTCTCACTTCTGCTTACAGAAGCTATAAGAAGTAGATTTTTCTGTCACAATCACCCATTATGATGTCTCCTGTCTAAGTGAAGACAAAATCAACAGGGCCAAAGCACTGTTGACTGAAATCTCTGAAATTATAAGTCCAGATGAACATTTCCTCCTTTGTTATAGCATTATATGGAACAGAATTTGGCCCAGCACTGGTAAAGGAGCTCATGTCATTAATTTCATTATTGGAATTCCATGTTTAAAAACCTCATCCCTGACATACATGATGCTGCAACGCAAAGCAGGGGAGAACACCCCAGCAGAGACCATCCTTTGCTCAAGTATCTCTCTTGGAACATGACTCTCCTTTCCAGTTCCACATCACTTTTCCCAGAGGAAATTGTCAAGATAAATATCTGGTAAAGAAGGACATGTTATATCCATAGCTTATGCAGGGGATCATTTAATTGGCACATAGAGGTAGAAACTGGGAACAATGGAGTAGTAGTAAAAAGCTAAGAAAGTAGTAGTTGAAAAAGCTAAGAAAGACACATGTTCACTTAACTTATGGGTCAAAATGAGAAACAGATGTGGGTAACAGTTTTGGCAGTACTGACAGAGGACAATGAATACAAATGTTGCAGAAGAAGGAACCTGTAACAATGAAGCTAAAGCTAGGGATGGCTTATGGCGTGTTTGAATAATGTCTCCTGAGAAATGCAGGTAGGTCCAATGTTCAAGTGCCCCCACCATCAGAAGATTTTTGTCATAGCTGCTACAGTACACTGTAGAGCTTGTCAGTCTGCATATGCTGCCTGGAATGACCACTCAAGGATGCCCTCCAGCTTCTCAGATGTTAGCAGAGCTCCCCCCCCCTTGTGAAAACTGAGAGGACTTTTGTCTTCAAGTTAGTTTAAAACGTATTTGCGTATTCTTTAAGAATGTTATACTTGCTGTCTTTGTGAGTTCTTCACTATCTTGACACAGGTCAGGGTAACAAAAAGTTTTGTCAGGAAGACAAACTTCAATAGAAAAAAAATGTCTCCATAAAATTGGCCAATAGAAAAGTCTGTGGGAGAATTTTGTAATGACTGATCTAGGAGGTCCCAGCCTGTTCTGTGAATGTGCCACTCCAGAGCAAGTGGTCCTGGATTAACCACAATATCAGGCTGAGCTTGTCACAGAGAGTAAGCCAGTATACATTCTGCCCTGGTCTATGGTATAGTTCCTGCCTCCATGTCCCTGCGTTAGGTCACTGCCTTGCCTTCTGATGTTAGATTGTGACCTCTAATCCACATCAGCCCTTTCCTCCCCAGGTTCTTTCTGCCAAAGCGTTTTTTCACACCGAAAGAGAGTAAATTGAAACAGAAATTGGAAGCAGGTTATGGAGTACTATTGGGATAGACCTGAGCATACTGTTTTGGCAAAGATTGTGGAATGTATTTGGCACTTTGGGCTGGAAAAGCCATTGAGTACTCAGAGTCCACTGGGCTATCTGTGTGAATATGAAACATAACGCTGAGAGCAAGGCCTGTCTTGTTAAGTTTCAGAGGGAAGAATAGGCTATCAGAATTGTTCATGTAATATGTTGAATTAACAATCTCCACTGGTGAAATTTGTGCTTCACTCAGATAACAGATGTTGCTTAGGTGGTGCTGAGGGATCAGCTGTGATGAATAAGAGGCCAGCCTCACTGAGGCAAAATCTTTTGGGGGGAAGTTTTACTCAGGGTCAGCATACAAATCTGTAGTCCAGAGTCTAAATGTACATTTCAAGCTGACACCAAACCTGGGAATGTGTAAGAATCTCCACATGGCACTGTTTTTTTGTGGTATGAAACTGCTGTACTGAGGGGGCCGTGGAGAACATGAAGTACGGCATCATGAGTGGACAGGAGAGGCCATTGGTGAGAATATAACCTCAGTTACAGTAGAAAGCCCAGGATCAGAGGGGTCATTTGGACAAGCTGGTTTGGCACCATGTGGTAGTGTCAGAGTCAGAAAAGAGAGGCCAGGAAGCCATCAGTGATGGTAGAGACCCCATCCTTTTAGACCTGTCAGGACTGTGTGACAACAGCCAAGGTAAGAAACAGCTATGGAACAAAGCTGGCTTGAGTCAAGGAAAGGAGCCACGTGTACTGCAGATAGCAAAGCCAGGGAAGGGGAGCTGCCTCTGCCCTTGTGAGCGCAGATCATGAGTGGGCTCCAGGGGCCAAGCCCTGACCTTCTTACATTGTCTGCATTTAGTATTGCTTTGCTTTGATTGGACAGTGCCTTGGCTCCTCCCTCTTCAAATAAGAAAGAATGTAACTCATTTTTCATATTAGAGGGATAGACACTTCAGGGACTTTGGACTTTTAGAGAGAATTCATATATTTAGAGTCTAAAATTTTAAATATTTTTGAATTTTATAAATTTTAGGACTTTTAAGAATGTAGCTGGCATGGTGGCACATGCCTATAATCCCAGCACTCAGGCAGTCAGCAGCCTGTCGACATCTGTGAGTCCGAGGCCAGTCTGAACTACAAAGCAAGTCCAGGAAAACCAAGGCTACACAAAGAAACCTTGACAAGAAAAACAAACAAATAAATAAATGAATAAATAAATAAACATGTGAATGCTTTATACAGTGATATTGATATAAACATGAGATATTAGAGAAAAGCAAGAATGGGAAAATTACAGTTTTATAGTAATGAGTTAGTGTGCTAAGTTGACAAGGGGTCAATTGTCATTGTTAATTTTTTTCAACTTAACAGAGGCCAGGGGCATCTGGAACAAAGGAAGTTAAAATAAGAAAATGCTTCCATCAGATCAGCCAATGGGCAAGTAGGTGTGGGCATTTTCTTGATTAATGATTGATGTGGCATGGGAAGGGACAGCCCACTGTGGGCAGTGCAACTTCTATGCAAGTGGCCTTGGCTTTTGCAAGGAAACAGGCAGAACAAGCCATGGGGGCAAGCCAGTGAGCAGCATTCCTTTTTTTTTCCTCTTTAACTTTTAGATTAAGCTAGACTAAATAGTAGCTTATTTAGTTTAATATGGTGAAGGAGGTTGAAAAATATGTTTTCAGACTGAAAAGATGGCTCTGTTATTGCATTGTTTATAGTGTGATCTTCTAAACCTATGTACCTTTGAAAGGCTCTACCTTGCAGGGTATCAGAGCACATGCTGAGATTATAGCCAAACTTTGTGCAGAGTGCAGGGAATCTTATGAAAGAAGGGAGAGATAGTAAGACCTGGAGAGGACAGGAGCTCCACAAGGAGAGCAACAGAACCAAAAATTCTGGGCACAGGTGTCTTTCCTGAGACTGATACTCCAACCAAGGACCATTCATGGAGATAACCTAGAACCCCTGCACAGATGAAGCCCATGACAGTTCAGTGTCCAAACAGGTTACCTAGTTAGGGGAAGAGGGACTGTCTCTGACATGAACTGATTGGCCTGCTCCTTGATCACCTCCCCCTGAGGGGGGAGCAGTCTTACCAGGCCACAGAGTAGCACAATGCAGCCATTCCTGATGAGACCTGATAGACTAGGATCAGAAGGAAGGAGAGGAAGACCTCCCCTATCAGTGGACTTGGGGAGGGGCATAGGTGGAGATGGGAGAGGGAGGGAGCTACAGGGAGGATACAAAGTGAATAAAGTGTAATTAATAGAAATAAAAAAAATAACTAGCATAGTGATGGCTGCTGAAGACATAGTTACCATTGTTTTAACCATGGTATGTGGGTAGGAGAGCATTTCCTGAAGTAGAAATGGTGTGGATGGCCTAAGGGCACTGGATCATTGGCCATAATATTTGGATGCTACAGGACCATACAAAGTAGTGGCATGCATGCCCACCTTACCTTTCTGGCAGAAAGGTCCTTCATATGGTGTGTTGGTACAGTCACACGAGTAGCCACTGTGTTTTTCTACACACTTGCCCCCATGGTGGCAGTTGCTTCCATAGCTGCTGCAGTGACCTGGACAGCCAGGTCTGACTCCAGGTGTGACCTTTGCACTCTCTTCCAGATCTACTTTCTGTCCATTCAATTGTAAAGAACGGATACATCCAAGAAAGCCTTTCTGTCTTGATGATGTCCCTCCTAATAATGAAAAATAAGAAAGAAAACATTAAAGGTACCATAGCTCTATTCCACAGATGTAACTGGTAGATTACAGAATCTCTAGCTGACCCCTCTCCCAGAAATCAAACCATTTCCTGCTATGCTGCCTCTTCACAGGCAGAATGAGAGATCTTCTATGACCATGCAGCTCTTCCTTTTCCTTCCTTAGTTGTAAGCAAGGCCTGTCCTTTCCCTACTGCCAAGACATTAGAGAGCCTTAAGTTAAAGCTAGATGTTGATGATGTCTAGCAGGTAGAATAGAGCATTTGGTGAGGGACTTATCCCTGTCTCCTTGAAAACCTATAAAGACAAGATACTTCCTCTTCGTCCTTTGGGCTTATGAGCTACTCACTCACATTTTTGGGCCTGTCAGGTTTTTAGTGATCTTGATGCTATCACTCTCCCAAGAAAACTCATCTAAAGGGTAATTTCATTTTAGCTTCCTCCTGTCCACCTGTAACATCTTATTCCATGAGAATAACATTTTTGTGGTAACACTTAGCCGTGGTGCAATTGTCAGCTCCACTGAATATTTCTTTAAGTTCCCAGTGAGAGAAAGGAAGTGAAACTGGAAGTCAGGGCTGGGAATGTGAGTCAGTTTGTAGAATGCTTGCCTGGCATGCACGAATCCCTAAGTTCAATTCCTAGTACCACCTAATAACTGTGCATGGCAATGTACTTCAATAATCTCAGCACTTAAAATGAGAGGCCAGGAGGATGAAAAGTTCAAGGTTATCTTTTATTACATAGCACACTCAAGGCCAGCTTACTATACATGAGACCCTATTTCAAAGAAAAAATTGCCTGGAGAGAGGGAGAGACTGAGAGAGAAATATACCTCTTTTTAAAATGCTTAAGAATAAAACTTTACATGTCCATGGTCTCCGCACATAAATAAAATACAAATTTTTATGCAGTGTATAATGTTTTTCATCTGAAATGAAAGGGATAGAGTTGGTTGTCCCTGCTGGACAATTTCAAAGAGAGCTGTTAGGTGCACCAAAGAGACAAAACTGAAACATTTTCCCTTATGCTTATACAATACAGGACTGTGCACTGGAAGAGAGAAAGACAGGTATTGGGGTTCAACTCCATACCATTGACTGGTTAGCCATATTGACAATTGAATTTAGGAAGTTTAAGCTATTCTATCTATTGTTCCATGTGTTTACTGTAAAGCTTAATACAGGTCATGGAATACAGTGTGTTCAATTACTGGTATCCTCTGGACCTTTTCTTGAGTCTTTACATACTGCCACAAATCAGCAGGTGCATTATGTATTATCTGCATAGTGATCCTATAGGTTATCCATTAAAATATTATTATTATTTTTCTTTTTTTCTTTGTTAATTACACTTTATTCACTTTGTATCTCCCCCGTGGTTCCCTCCCTCCTCCTGTCCTAATCCCTCCCTTCCTCCACCCTCTGCCTGCATGCCCCTCCCCAAGTCCACTGATAGAGGAGGAATTCTTTTCCTTCCTTCTGATCCTAGTCAATTAGGTCTCATCAGGAGTGGCTGCATTGTCCTCTTCTGTGGCCTGGTAATGCTGCTTCCCCCTCAGGGGGAGGAAATTAAAGAGCAGGCCAATCAGTTCATGTCAGAGACAGTCCCTGTTCCTATTACAATGGAACCCTACAAATTGGAAAAGAAGAAGTCAAAGTATCTCTATTTGCAGATGATATGATAGTATACCTGAGTGACCCCAAAAACTCTACCAGGGAACTCCTACAGCTGATTAATACCTTCAGCAAAGCGGCTGGATACAAAATTAACAAAAAAAAAAAAAAAAAAAAAAAAAATCAGTAGCCTTCCTGTATACAAAGGACAAAAGGGCTGAGAAAGAAATTAGGGAAACAACACCCTTCACAATAGCCACAAAGGACATAAAGTGCCATGGTGTGAACCTAACCAAGCTAGTCAAAGAGTTGTATGAAAAAAATTTCCAGTCTCTGAAGAAAGATTTAGAAGAAGATATCAGCAGATGGAAAGATCTCCCATGCTCATGGCTTGGCAGGATTAATATAATAAAAATGGCCATCTTACCAAAAGCAATCTTCAGATTTAATGCAATTCCCATCAAATTGCCAACACAATTCTTTACAGACATTCAAATATTAATTAACAGATGAGAATTCTTGACTCACATTTAGACTTGGGCTGTAAATTTACTCCCAACTTAAAAAAAAAATCTGGAAGGGGTCAGAAGAGGCTTTTATACACTCCACCAAGCACTGAACAGATTTAAACTTTTTCATTCTATTGTTCACATAGAAAGCCTCAATCTTCCTTGATATAAGAGGGCATGTATGCCAAGAGACAAGAAGATGGAAAGCACAGCTAAATCCCATTAGTCTGTATGTGTGAGCTGCTGAGAATTCTGGGAGATCTCAGAAGAGGCAGAGGCCCATTCTGGCTTTAGAAAACAGGCAATTTGTGTTCAAACCTTGAGCTCAAGGTCATGCACAGATGTGTGGAGAGTAAGTACAAATCCTTGAGTTCTATCAATTGGACTGATGGAGAAGAAAAGAAAGAGAAGGAGGGAGCAGAAAAGAGAGTGGGAGAAACAGGAGCAGGAGAAAATACTGAGGACAGAAACTACAAATCAATTATTTTATGTCTCTATTAGCTAACTGAGACACATTTCTTTTTAACACTTTATGCTACAACTCTATTAAATTTTGATCTAGAACAGCAATTCTAAACCTGTGGGTCACAATCCCTTTGTGGGTGAACCAACCTTTCATAGGGGTCATCTAAGACCATCAGAAAGCACAGATATTTACATTATGATTCATAACAGTAGCAAAATTACACATACAAAGTGGCAATAAAAATAATTTTAAGGTTGGAGGTCACCACAACATTATGAAGTGTATCAAAGGTTCACAGCATTAGGGAGACTGAGAAATACTAGTCTTGAAACTATGTCTGCATGCGTGCTTATCAAGGCAGATAAGATAGAAATATCAAACATACTGTTTTGGACAAGAAATATGTCAATAAGGCAAATAAAGTTGTAAGTCGGGGCTGGGGAGATGGGTCAGGTGGGAAAATGCTTGCCTTGCAAGCATGAGGACCTGAGTTTGATCCTCAGAAGTGATGAAAAACCTAGGTTATGTGGCACATGCCTCCCACCCCAGTGATGTAAGATGTGAGGTAGAGACAGGGAGATCTCTGGAAGCTCACAGGCCAGGAAGACTAGCCTACAGGATGAAGTGACAGGATGAGGATGAGGAACAGTGTCTTAGTCAAATTGTGGAAGGTGTCTAAAGACTGTTATCAGACCTCCCCATGCTGTACTGTGCATGTGCTCATATGCCCTCACATGTGCAACCACATAAACAGACATGTACACATACAACAAACATACGCACACACACACACACAAACACGCATGAAATCGGGGAGATCTGTAAGTTGATAGAATGACAGGGTAGTGGGTGACATGATAACATAATGAGAAGTGTAGATGGCTAGACATATACCTTTCTCTCTCCATCCTAGGTGTGGTCATTTGAGTGAGAACAGCCTCCTTAAGATCCTGTTTCCATACTTGCTTTCCAGTTGGTGGAACTTTTGGGGAAGAATTAGCAGCTATGACCTTGTTGGAGAATATGTGTCATTTGAGACTGGCTCTTAGGTTTACAAAAGTCAGTTAGCTCTCTGTGCCTCATGCTTATGTATCAAGATATATGCACTTGGCTATTCCTTCAGCACTGTGTCTGCCTTGCTGTTGCCATGCTCCCTACAATGATAGTCATGGACACTGGCCCTTTGCATCCATGAGCACAAATTAAGCATTTTGGGGGATCATGATGTGCTATCATGACAATAGAAAACTAATTAAGATGTCAGGTTGCCATACCAAGAAACACACATGTGGAGTCCATTGCTTGAGCTGAAAGAATAAAAAAAAAAAAGAATATTCCTGAGGCACAAGGCTAATCTCTTACTCTGAAATAATGATAAAACTTGAGGTTGTTTCCAGTTCTGATAAGAATGCAGGCCAAGAGGCCAAACCTCAATTGCACTGTCTTGTCTGTTTCAATTTCAGTGAGTAAGCCTCCTTTAACCACAAGATAAATCAATGGCAAATACAAGCCAATCACAAAGGCTCATTATTTCTTTTCTGGGGCTTCTGTGCAACAAAGAGGGGAGGATTTACAGAGTCTAACACTTGCTTCTCTTTCCCTTACTCTGTAATCACTCTCCTTCATGGATTTGAATATAACTCTTCATATATCTTGTTAGTGTCATTTTTCTCATAGCAGAGGTAGCAAATGCAAGAAGTATTGCACATTTTTGTGTGTATGTGTGTGGATTAGTCAACAAGTTCATAAATGTGGAAAGGGTGGCAGGGGTGATTTCTCTTGTAAAAATGTACTTCTCAATGTAGAGACATAAAACAAGTTATTATGATTTTCCTCAGAAAAGCAGCTCATGCCCTTTGTATACTACTTGAATAGTGACCTACAGTTGGTGCTTTTCCCTGGCTTTTTTTTATTTTTACAAGGAATAAAATTCTATATAATAGATTGTTTTTATGGTAAGGAATGACACACTAGACTAAGTGCTTGGTAATTTTAAGAGAATTCATGCCATTCCAATAATACACACACATGTGCACATCTACTTATATATATACAGAAACACATACATATAGACTACACCCAAACACACATCTGCACACCTAAACACACATCTGCACATATATGTTCATATATACACAGAGACAGCACAAGCACAGATATATACATATAAGTACATGTTCAAAGTGACAACACAAATACATGTAACACATACACAGAGACAACACAAACACTACGTACATAAGACATGTATATGCACACAGTGAGGACACAAGAACATGTACACAGATACAAGCATAGAGAGACACATATAGTCATAGTATTACAGGACAAGTTTTAAGAGTCAGTTTTCTCCTCTTACCATGTAGGTTCTTGGAATTTAACTCA